CGTCTGTGGCTTGGGGTCTATACCATCTCGGATTCGTATATATCTGGCTTGCGATATGTGGTACTTCCTCTTCGCTTCCTGAAGGGACAAACAACCCGATCGGATCTTGGTATAGGCTTCGCGCGAGAGCTTGGTTCCTGGCATTTTTTCTATATCCATGCACCCACATAGCTCTAACTGGAGTGCCCTTGCGTCGGGAGACGAAAAGTGGTCTTATCGAAGTTTTGTGCAAAACACTCATTTTGGGGGGGCTGTGGGAGCGCAATTAGCTAGTATGGAAGCTTCTAAGCAGGGTGCACCTATGCGGTGTTTTTTCCCCATTACTATACTACTGGACTAGGGTTGCATGAAGGTCTGAGGCTGTGTGAAGGGTCCCTGATGAACCACTGATGACGCTTGAGAAAGAGTAGGTAGATGAACGGCCTTGTTCTGTTCTCTTCTATGGGAACATAACACAGAATGTTTCCACTCTATCTCGGGTTAAGGGAAGGAGAAGCAAATAGTATGAGTCAGGATAAGGAAAAATTAATAAATACTTTAATAAAAGGGATTTTTTTCCAACAATATAACAACATGTATTGTGTATCATCAGCTAGAAGTCATAAATAACCTGCATTGTGAAGGCTTTTGTCAGTGAGGTGAAGTCTTTCAGGAACAGTTTTGCACTCAATTAGTTTATATTTATATCAGACACATGGTACCAGGAAAGTTGTAGCTTGTGTACATATTCACCTACATTGTCTGATACTTACCAATATAGCCTTGTTTAGGTGCATCTGTTTTGGGGGTAGCGAGTTCCTGAAACAGAATTCACATATTTCTTTTTTCTTTTAAAAAATCAACTGCCGAAGCCAATAATGTAGTAGTATGACATCCATAATATGAATTTGTATTACATTAAGTGATAAAGAATAATATGCTTTTCAAGAAATTGTTGATTAATAATTTCCTTCACGAGTGCCAAAGTAAAACCAGTGAGGTAGTGATCATGTTCATCAGTTATGATGCACATGATATAACCAATTGTTTTTAACTTGACAAAGCTTTTAAGGCATTACTTACAGCTTTTATTCCACACATGACAGTGGTGTTGCCTAGTCTGACAAGGGATGAGCCCTCCGCTGTTGTAACACATCCTGTAATGATAAACAATCCAATAGACCTGCTGTGCACAGACCAACCACTAGTCAATGTCAGCAAACACTATCATTCTACCACTAGTGAGCTTGGCAAAACACTTTTCACTCAACTAATTGGTTTTCGGAATCATGTAACTTGAATCTGTTAGAATTATCACCAAGGTTTGCAGCAAACTGAAGATTTACTTGACTCAAACTGGCTCTAAAATATGCGAGTAAAAATGATTCTCATTTCACTAATATTGCTGAACTGGTGTGCATTCAACATGTTAAAGGTTTGCTTGAAGAATGTGGAATACTCACCAAATTCGCTCCTCAGTGCTAATGTTGTTATCGTGGTTATGGTAAACATAACAAGTGTTTGCCACTAATATGGCAATGTCCCCCACCGCTAAAGAAGAATGAAATATTTATAACATATACTCATAGAAACGAATAAGGGAACACTTGAAAGTACAAGTGTTCCTTTATTTATTTCCAGAATTTCACTCACAGTGCAATACATACCTTGTGAAGAAACCTGGAAAATAATAAAGGAACACTTGTACTTTCATGTGTTCCCCTATTTCATTTCCATGAGTATATTTACTACTTTATTTGTTTTGGTCACATAAAAGATGCCTGAAATGAATGGTGTCTGCATAATCCCCCCAATGTAGGCTGTCGACATAATTGAAGACATTGGGTACAATGTTTTATGATATATTGCATTGAAAAGTTTGAAAAGTGGTCAAAGTGTCATGGTGACCTTGAAAATAAGGTCAAGTTCACCCAAATCAACTGGTGTCTGCGTAATATCCCAATGTAGGCTGTCACCAAATTTGAAGACATTGGGTACAACAGTTTGTGATATATCGCATTAAAAAGAGTTTGAAAAGTGGTCAAATGTAGAGGTGGCCTTGAAAATAAGCCAAGGTCACCCAAATCAACGTGGCCCAGGTTTTCGAAGCTCTCTTAGCGCTAAGATAGTCGTAAGTTAATGTTAATGTATGGCACTCACGACTATCTTAGCGCTAAGAGAGCTTCGAAAATCTAGGCCCAGGTGTCTGCATAACTCCCCAATGTAGGCTGTCACCAAATTCGAAGACATTGGGTACAACAGTTCATGAGATAACAAGAATCGGAATGTACGTATGTACGCGTTGCAGCGGGGGACAATAATCATGTTAATATTCCTACAATTCATGCTCAAGAAGAATTTGTAACTTCACGTAAACTTGCAGCCTTGTTGCTGTTTATACCTCCTACTACTCTCATCATATACGTACAGCCCTTTCACAGCTTTTCTGCTAACAATGTGATAAAAGTGGAACATTGTGAACATGGTGAAATTACCTATATTCAGAACTGTAGAACGGAATTCCCCCAACTCTCTGCCATCAGGTCTGACATCTTTCTCCTGAAAAAAAGCCAAGATTGACAGGATGACAATCCTCATCATTAGATCTGCTCTTAAGAGTTTGGGGAAAAGACAAGTGGTAAATGTACTGGATTGTTGGTCACTGTTATTACTTTGGGACACAGTGATTGACAAGAGGATGTCTGATAGTACAATACTACAATTTCATAACCTGCATTGTTTCATTGTCTAAAATCACCATATCTAACATAAAATACCTACAATATCAGCATATTTCATTGCTTAAGTTCATATAACTGTTTGTCTTCCGACCTTTCCTCTATTTTTTTATAGCGACTGACTAATTCGTCATATGCACATGTACACATATATATAACTCTGTCTCTGTGTGTGTGTGTGTGTGTGTGTGTGTGTGTGTGCGTGTGTGTGTGTGTGTGTGGTTGTTTTTACTTACCAAAAATCGTCTGTAATATTCTCTTGGGTGAGCTGTCCTACAAAAAGTAAATTTCTGGTGCTTTACAGTGATAATTACATGTTGAATCAAATGTAAATGAACTTTGGCTAGTAGGTTTACAAAGTTACAAAACAAGATATATACAAGATATTTTTATGGATTAAACGACTTTTTAATTTCTCTCACGACGTTTCGAGACCATTCCAGGTCCCTTCATCAGGTGAACTCATCGTCGTGAGAGAAATTAAAAAGAAGTTTAATCCATAAAAATATCTTGGACATCAATGTACAACTTCTAAATGCCACTGAAAGACAAGATATATACACTCGAATAACTTATTTCAGTTTGGTTGTTTTTTTCAATCGAAAGCCCTGTGGCTGAAAGTGTAAGCAAGGTTTTGATGAAAAAGAAGAAACTACGTCAGCAGAATCTCAAGCATGCCAATAGCAGCCAATGCCGAAGAAATGTGTCTTTTGGGGTTTTTTTCTCACTCTTTATTAACACATATATAAGACCATGATTGGTACATATCGATCTACATATGCCATGTGGTCAGGGCACCACGGCCGTTTGCAGACATAGCTTCGTTCTACATACATTGAATACAAGCTTATCGATTTTTTTACTGTAACATAAAGCAGGGCTCCAGATAATTTTTCAGCATCAGGAGTCCGTACTCCTTATTTTTTCAATACAGGAGTACTGGAAAACCTGAATGGAATTTAATGGAGTGTCAGTAATCTTGTGTTTTGTTTCATATATGCACCACAACATTGCTACTCTTGTGTAAACAGGTCAATACACAATAAAACAAACAATTTTCAGATAAATACGTCTGTAAATGACTCTAAGATCGTACACCATTGCTGTGGTGCGTATCTGCTACGTGTTTTAAACTATTTCCTACCGTATCGTGCATATTTTTTATCCGTACATACGCCGATACGGCCCTTATCTGGAGCCCTGATAGAGTCAAAAGTGGTTAACATTATAATTATATATTTATAAGAACTATGATTTATTACTTCTAGCTGTTTGATAAATTCCCTTTTAACAGCTTTGAGGGTTGGAATAGTATTTGACACATTGCACTTGTAAACATAAAATTTTGCTACTGTGAAGACATAATTAAGACTTATAATATTAGCTTTATCTAAAGAATCTGTTTCCTGACATCAAAGCAATACATTCTCTCTATAACTTTGTTGTTGCCAATCAATAAACTTAACCAAAAAGGTATGACTGATGAACAATAAAACATGTAATGATTAACAGTATCAGTTAAATCACACTTCTCACACCTAGCAGTATTCTTAATGTTAAGTTTATGTAAGTAAACATTACATGGTACAATAGAGTATAAAATTTTAAAATGGAGTTGTTTAAATTTATTTTCTAGTGGTAAACTCATAATAGGTCTCCATTTGTCTTTTGCAACTTCAGGTGATGACATCACTAATTTCTGTTGCAATAAATTGTACCAAAATTTAGATTTTATTGATGTCTCATTAACTGGAATGCTGTCAAAAAAAGGGGTACTCTGGTAGCGTGGGTTGGGGGAATTATTGTTGTAAACAATTTCCCCCTACAAAGAAACGTGTCTTCTTGACTTGAGTTTTCCACTGAGTTACAAACATTAAAAATAAATGAAGCTGTAACACAATTGCTTTGGTTACTTGATAAATGTAAGCCAGACATGATAAGCTTCAGCTAAACATCCGGATATCAATTCAATCTAATCTATATGACGGTTTTATTTACCACGTGTACATGTTATGCTCACAACTCACTTAAAATCAGCCGCCATGTTTGTGTTTATGCCAAAGTGCGTTGTATTGAAGATTATGATTGGACCAGATTGGCCAATGGCTACCGATTTCCGGTTGTTCCTAAATTTACCGTTCAAAACTACAAACATCATATATTTTGAAAACATAACATCTGTGAATGTGTTGACAGGTCTCAAGATAGTCATTGCAGTCATTTATTTTAGGCAAAGCATCGTCTTAAGCCAATGTATCTTTAAAAAAACAAACAGGCTAAAACTCCACTGCAGGGCTTGTGGCGGGGCTTGTCGGGAGCTACAGAGTTGCGGGCTTTTTCAAACAAGGTGGAAACAGACTGCTAACAGAACAGGAAAATGAATCCAAGCACGATATCTAAGTTTGTTGACATTTTCAGAAACATACTGCAGAACAAGACTTCCCAGGAATATGACAGTAGCGTCGTGTTCGAGTTCCAGCCTAAGGGTAAACTGTCCACCAACAGCGTTTTGGATCACGCAATGACATATTATCTTGATATTTCATGTGACAGATCGTCAATTGTTGCCTACAAGGGAAGACTATCAGATATAAACAACACAAAAAGCGTTGATATTTCACAGGATGTTTCCATTTCTCGGAAATCATCTCAAAGTCAAAGTACAACTGTCACCCCCAAAAGGAAGAAGGAGAGTACTGGATCAACGAACGGAAAAGAAAATTCATTGGACTTGGATGGCTCCCCATTGAAATTACAGGCCTATGTTGATCTGTCTTCTTTTGATTCACCTTCATCTGTATCTTCACCAAAGTATATAAATCAGGTTTGCAAGAAAGAGAGGCGGGATTTTGGCATCTCCAACCAGAAAGCCAGGTGCCTGTTGTCTATGTTTTCTACCTATTTCACGAACAATCACACCAACAATGGGAATGAGAATATTGATCTCATACCAGATTTCTGGGTGCTTTGTGATGGGTCTGACATCAAGTCAACAATTATTCGAGGAGTCCAACCTGTACATGTTGATGGAAAAACTGGTTTGAGGATATCATCCGTGACGCAGTCTGACAAGGATATAGATTTGAAAAGAGAAATTGTTTTTGATAGCTCCTCTGTCTTGTCTGATACTAGTTGCTATGCTCGCTACAATGTGACTGACTCTGTGAGTGATGAGATGGTTGGTTACCAAGGCTCACTGGCTGTTGACATGGAGTGGGCAAGATCAACGTTGCTGCTACAGAAACCACCTTCTCATGCTGCAGCTTTTATCAAGGCTTCAGTTACTGCAGGTATTTATTTTTCTTAGTTGTCAGAAAACATGGTGATAACTGTCTGTAAGCACAGATTATCTGCTTGGCAAAAAGAATACACACTGTTATGAACCTGCTTGACTAAAATATAACAGCATTTAAACTCACTCAAGAAGAGGAAGTTATTTTTACTCCAATTGTCATTAGACCCAATTGACGATTTACAATTGAAATAATTTGATTATCTAAAAGCCACTGCCCTAGTGTGGTGTTACATAACAACGTCTGTTGATACTGATTTGCATAAATACTGATGATTGTGGACAATGTTTATTCCACATGGTTGTTGTGTTTTGCAGGTGACATGAGAAGTCCTGCATATTCTTTCTATGAAGAGCTGACTCTGCTGAAAAGTTTTGTTTCCTCCGTTACAACTGGGGACATCAACTGGATTGGGGAAGTGAGTGATGTCCCACTGATTGAGAGTGTGAAGAAACTAATCGAGCAGCTACAACAGGGTGACAGAGTTGTTCAGGAGGAAAATGAAGATGATTCAGTTGACGTAATTTCGTCTCTAGAAAACCTGGTTTTCAGGGAACATAAAGACTTAGATTTCACAGACCATCTGTGGAAGGTGCTGATCAGCTGTTCGTCCTTCTCGGATCTTGAGAGCAGTCTCAAGTACATCTTCAACTGTCTCAGTAGTGGAAGCGTTCAACCAATGGTCCATAATAACAACCACACGACCATGGCACAGCTTGTCCGAGACTCCTACGTCGGTCGGATGATGGTTCCTCCGTTGAAGGGAATAACTCCAATCATATTGTTAGCTGAGATGGGAGTTGAGAAGTTAAAACGAGACTATATCAACACGTTTTTGTCATCGGACATGACCACCCTTTCTCATTTGACAAACATGGTGTCAATGTCAAAGTCACTGGAGGAGAACCTGGAAAAATTGGAAAAGCTTCAGAACGTGCTGGAGATGGTATCCATGTTGAAGTTGTTTCTAAGTCTGCCTCACTCATCACTTGGCTCAGCAGCCAGACAGATGCTCAAACACTATGAGATGAGCGCCATTGATCAGAAGCATGTGTTCGAATTTGGGGTGCCAACATCCAGCGTGCAGTCAGTGATGGACAGATGCTCTCCATGTGAGTGGAAGGCAAGATTTGATCATACTATTGGATCTGTCACTGAATCCACTATCTACTGCCTTACTTCAACAGAACCATTCCGGCATGTGAAGCGAGGAGATGAAGCTGACATCAGCCAAACAGATACTATGCTGGAAACCGAAAGTCAGTTTCTCCTGAAGAAACAAGATTTTGTTACTTTGTTCTGATTTAGTAATCATTTGGTTGTGGAAATGGTAAATGTGTACATTTTGTCCAGCACTTTATATGAAAATAATGAAAATATTTGACACAAGTTAGCAGAAAATATGCCAGCATTCATTATTTGATTGTATTCTTTTTTTCAATATTCCTGTACATTGTTAGACCTGTTAAATAACTGCTGTGATGTAATAATTTTGTTTCACTGAAACTTAGTGAAAGGGATGGTCAAGTGTGCTAGCCCTGCTAACTGTGGAAGACAGATGCAGTTTAAAGGTTTGGGGTTCTACCATGTCTCTCCCCCTTGTCAGGTGACCTCACAGCCCAAGGGTACTGGCTAAAACCTGTTCCAGGCTATTTGGATACTTGTGCAAGGAACTTGGGTAAAATAGCCAGTCTTTACATCATGAATGTGTTGTTGCTTTTATGTTTGATGTTATTTGTTTTGTTACACTGAATATTGAAATCTGGTGTTACAGAGTGCAAATGTATATCTTATGACAATACCCCGCCGTGGTATTGCTGGAATATTGCTAAAAGCAGCGTGAAACTAACATCACTCACTCACTTATCACCATACTAAGTACTTCAGGCCCCCAAAAATACATGTTGTGGTTCCCATTTCCTACATTTCAGAACTAGGGTAGGTAGGTAGGGTTTTGGGTTTTTGCAAAATATTTTTACATTACTCATGTGTCAGAAAATAAATTTAATTTATTATGTGGTGAGTAAAATTGTTAGGCTCAGCGGGAATATTTAGGGTCGGTCGGGAAATCGGAACCACAAGCTTTTTTTTAGGCCTCACCATAACTTGAGCACAAAATGTTAAGTTGTGTGGGTAATGAATTGATAGCAGAGCATGAATTGCCAAAGCTTTATTATTAATAATTATATGAGTATATTCATCATAATCAATGGTGATTGATAACAAACAGAATAAATATCTATTCTGTTATTTTTTATTATTATTTTTACAATTTTGTTGGATTTCAAAGTTGGCATGCTTAGTAATATCATTCTCCTTAAAATTTTGAATCAGAAGTACTTTAACAACTATATGCAATGAGGCCATTTCACAGTTAGTAGAAAACATTCTCTGTAGAATCTTCAACCTCGACCGCTTGTACCAAAAGATGTTAAACATGTCAAAAGATGACACTTGTTACCATGCTGGAGTTGGCATTAAGGGAACAATAACAAGGACTGGCTGGCTCAGTCAGTATACTGTGTACCTTCATGTTAAACTGCCGCATAGTATGTCAGTGTTCTCACTAAAGCAACAGTATTAGTCCAAACAAGCTTGCATGCAGGCACAGACACACACAGAGCACTCATATGCCTTGCTTTGGAACGAGATGTTAGACCCAGTGTCACCCGTCTACAGAATCTCCAAGCAAAATGGTTGTCTGTATGTCATAACAAGTAACCGGTTCAGATATTACTTTCAATGTTGCTGGTGTGTCACCCAGAGTGTGTACTCAACTGACCCCATGACTAGGAGCAGCTTGTCACCATGCATGATGCATGCTCCATTAAGGCACATGGCCACCTCACCCCTAAACTAGTAACAGCTTGTCACCATGCAGGATGCATACTCCATTAAGGCACATGGCCACCTCACCCCTAAACTAGTAACAGCTTGTCACCGTGCAGGATGAATACTCCATTAAGGCACATGGCAGTCTCACCCCTAAACTAGTAACAGCTTGTCACCGTGCAGGATGCATACTCCATTAAGGCACATGGCCACCTCACCCCTAAACTAGTAACAGCTTGTCACCATGCAGGATGCATACTCTACTAAGGCACATGTCAGTCTCACCCTTAAACTAGTAACAGCTTGTCACCATGCAGGATGCATACTCCATTAAGGCACATGGCAGTCTCACCCCTAAACTAGTAACAGCTTGTCACCGTGCAGGATGCATACTCCATTCAGGCACATGGCAGTCTCACCCCTAAACTAGTAACAGCTTGTCACCATGCAGGATGCATACTCCATTAAGGCACATGGCAGTCTCACCCCTAAACTAGTAACAGCTTGTCACCGTGCAGGATACATACTCCATTAAGGCACATGGCAGTCTCACCCCTAAACAAGTAGCAGCTTGTCACCGTGCAGGATGCATACTCCATTAAGGCACATGGCAGTCTCACCCCTAAACTAGTAACAGCTTGTCACCATGCAGGATACATACTCCATTAAGGTACATTGCCATCTCACCCCTAAACAAGTAGCAGCTTGTCATCATGCAAGATGCATACTCTACTAAGGCACATGGCCATCTCACCCCTAAACTAGTAACAGCTTGTCACCGTGCAGGATGCACGCTCCATTAAGGCACATGGCAGTCTCACCCCTAAACTAGTAACAGCTTGTCACCATGCAGGATACATACTCCATTAAGGCACATGGCCATCTCACCCCTAAACAAGTAGCAGCTTGTCATCATGCAAGATGCATACTCTACTAAGGCACATGGCCATCTCACCCCTAAACTAGTAACAGCTTGTCACCGTGCAGGATGCATACTCCATTAAGGCACATGGCAGTCTCACCCCTAAACAAGTAACAGCTTGTCACCATGCAGGATGCATACTCCATTAAGGCACATGGCCACCTCACCCCTAAACTAGTAACAGCTTGTCACCGTGCAGGATGCATACTCCATTAAGGCACATGGCAGTCTCACCCCTAAACTAGTAACAGCTTGTCACCATGCAGGATGAATACTCCATTAAGGCACATGGCAGTCTCACCCCTAAACTAGTAACAGCTTGTCACCATGCAGGATGCATACTCCATTAAGGCACATGGCCACCTCACCCCTAAACTAGTAACAGCTTGTCACCATGCAGGATGCATACTCTACTAAGGCACATGTCAGTCTCACCCCTTAAACTAGTAACAGCTTGTCACCATGCAGGATGCATACTCCATTAAGGCACATGGCAGTCTCACCCCTAAACTAGTAACAGCTTGTCACCGTGCAGGATGCATACTCCATTAAGGCACATGGCAGTCTCACCCCTAAACTAGTAACAGCTTGTCACCATGCAGGATGCATACTCCATTAAGGCACATGGCAGTCTCACCCCTAAACTAGTAACAGCTTGTGTCGTGCAGGATACATACTCCATTAAGGCACATGGCAGTCTCACCCCTAAACAAGTAGCAGCTTGTCACCGCAGGATGCATACTCCATTAAGGCACATGGCAGTCTCACCCCTAAACAACTAACAGCTTGTCACCATGCAGGATGCATACTCCATTAAGGCACATGGCCACCTCACCCCTAAACTAGTAACAGCTTGTCACCGTGCAGGATGCATACTCCATTAAGGCACATGGCAGTCTCACCCCTAAACTAGTAACAGCTTGTCACCATGCAGGATGAATACTCCATTAAGGCACATGGCAGTCTCACCCCTAAACTAGTAACAGCTTGTCACCGTGCAGGATGCATACTCCATTAAGGCACATGGCCACCTCAATTTCTAAACTAGTAACAGCTTGTCACCGTGCAGGATGCATACTCCATTAAGGCACATGGCAGTCTCACCCCTAAACTAGTAACAGCTTGTCACCATGCAGGATGAATACTCCATTAAGGCACATGGCAGTCTCACCCCTAAACTAGTAACAGCTTGTCACCGTGCAGGATGCATACTCCATTAAGGCACATGGCCACCTCACCCCTAAACTAGTAACAGCTTGTCACCATGCAGGATGCATACTCTACTAAGGCACATGGCAGTCTCACCCTTAAACTAGTAACAGCTTGTCACCATGCAGGATGCATACTCCATTAAGGCACATGGCAGTCTCACCCCTAAACTAGTAACAGCTTGTCACAGTGCAGGATGCATACTCCATTAAGGCACATGGCCACCTCACCCCTAAACTAGTAACAGCTTGTCACCATGCAGGATGCATACTCTACTAAGGCACATGTCAGTCTCACCCTTAAACTAGTAACAGCTTGTCACCATGCAGGATGCATACTCCATTAAGGCACATGGCAGTCTCACCCCTAAACTAGTAACAGCTTGTCACCGTGCAGGATGCATACTCCATTAAGGCACATGGCAGTCTCACCCCTAAACTAGTAACAGCTTGTCACCATGCAGGATGCATACTCCATTAAGCACATGGCAGTCTCACCCCCTAAACTAGTAACAGCTTGTCACCGTGCAGGATACATACTCCATTAAGGCACATGGCAGTCTCACCCCTAAACAAGTAGCAGCTTGTCACCGTGCAGGATGCATACTCCATTAAGGCACATGGCAGTCTCACCCCTAAACAACTAACAGCTTGTCACCATGCAGGATGCATACTCCATTAAGGCACATGGCCACCTCACCCCTAAACTAGTAACAGCTTGTCACCGTGCAGGATGCATACTCCATTAAGGCACATGGCAGTCTCACCCCCTAAACTAGTAACAGCTTGTCACCATGCAGGATGAATACTCCATTAAGGCACATGGCAGTCTCTCACCCTAAACTAGTAACAGCTTGTCACCGTGCAGGATGCATACTCCATTAAGGCACATGGCCACCTCACCCCTAAACTAGTAACAGCTTGTCACCGTGCAGGATGCATACTCCATTAAGGCACATGTCAGTCTCACCCTTAAACTAGTAACAGCTTGTCACCATGCAGGATGCATACTCCATTAAGGCACATGGCAGTCTCACCCCTAAACTAGTAACAGCTTGTCACCATGCAGGATGCATACTCCATTAAGGCACATGGCAGTCTCACCCCTAAACTAGTAACAGCTTGTCACCGTGCAGGATGCATACTCCATTAAGGCACATGGCCACCTCACCCCTAAACTAGTAACAGCTTGTCACCATGCAGGATGCATACTCTACTAAGGCACATGGCAGTCTCACCCTTAAACTAGTAACAGCTTGTCACCATGCAGGATGCATACTCCATTAAGGCACATGGCAGTCTCACCCCTAAACTAGTAACAGCTTGTCACCGTGCAGGATGCATACTCCATTAAGGCACATGGCAGTCTCACCCCTAAACTAGTAACAGCTTGTCACCGTGCAGGA